GGAGACACAGACCCATTCCCCCATAGGAGACACAGACCCATTCCCCCATAGGAGACACAGACCCATTCCCCCATAGGAGACACAGACCCATTCCCCCATAGCAGACACATACCCATTCCCCCATAGGAAACACAGACCCATTCCCCCATAGCAGACACAGACCCATTCCCCCATAGGACACACAGACCCATTCCCCCATAGCAGAAACAGACCCATTCCCCCATAGGAGACACAGACCCATTCCCCCATAGGAGACACAGATCAATTCCCTCATAGGAGACACAGACCCATTCCCCCATAGGAGACACAGACCCATTCCTCATAGGAGACACAGACCCATTCCCCATAGGAGACACAGACCCATTCCCCCATAGCAGACACAGACCCATTCCCCCATAGGCGACACAGACCCATTCCCCCATAGGAGACACAGACCCATTCCCCCATAGGAGACACAGACCCTTTCCCCCATGGGAGACACAGACCCATTCCCCCATAGGCGACACAGACCCATTCCCCCATAGGAGACACAGACCCATTCCCCCATAGGAGACACAGACCCATTCCCCCATAGGAGACACAGACCCATTCCCCCATAGGAGACACAGACCCATTCCCCCATAGGAGACACAGACCCATTCCCCCATAGGAGACACAGACCCATTCCCCCATAGGAGACACAGACCCATTCCCCCATAGGAGACACAGACCCATTCCCCCATAGGAGACACAGACCCATTCCCCCATAGGAGACACAGACCCATTCCCCCATAGGAGACACAGACCCATTCCCCCATAGGAGACACAGACCCATTCCCCCATAGGAGACACAGACCCATTCCCCCATAGGAGACACAGACCCATTCCCCCATAGGAGACACAGACCCATTCCCCCATAGGAGACACAGACCCATTCCCCCATAGGAGACACAGACCCATTCCCCCATAGGAGACACAGACCCATTCCCCCATAGGAGACACAGACCCATTCCCCCATAGGAGACACAGACCCATTCCCCCATAGGAGACACAGACCCATTCCCCCATAGGAGACACAGACCCATTCCCCCATAGGAGACACAGACCCATTCCCCCATAGGAGACACAGACCCATTCCCCCATAGGAGACACAGACCCATTCCCCCATAGGAGACACAGACCCATTCCCCCATAGGAGACACAGACCCATTCCCCCATAGGAGACACAGACCCATTCCCCCATAGGAGACACAGACCCATTCCCCCATAGGAGACACAGACCCATTCCCCCATAGGAGACACAGACCCATTCCCCCATAGGAGACACAGACCCATTCCCCCATAGGAGACACAGACCCATTCCCCCATAGGAGACACAGACCCATTCCCCCATAGGNTCTAAACCAATACATATCAATAACAATGTACCCGTGGAACCAGTATCTAAACCAATACATATCAATAACAATGTACCCGTGGAACCAGTATCTAAACCAATACATATCAATAACAATGTACCCGTGGAACCAGTATCTAAACCAATACATATCAATAACAATGTACCCGTGGAACCAGTATCTAAACCAATACATATCAATAACAATGTACCCGTGGAACCAGTATTGGTTTTTTACCTTTCATAACCACGATATCGATTTCGAGTTGATGATGAACCTCGATATGCTGTCTCCTGTCTAGGATGGTATCCTGTACTTGAGGACTGGAATGGATCTGGACGGTGTCCTGACTGTTGAGGACGGTACGTGTTTGATGGTGGCCTCAAGGAGGCATCGTAATCCGTCCGGGATTTTTCTTTCCCTAAAATTTCATAGGCTTCCGCACATTTAGAAAATATTGTCTTAGCATTAGGATTGGAGTTTCTGTCGGGATGATACTGAAGTTAAAAATAAAACATGTTCTACATATGTATATTACATCAAGTTCTAATAAAAAGACATAGTTTTTCTCATTTAAAGATGATTGCAGGCAAAAAATGCCCTGCTTATTTATCAAAATTGAACCAGTTCTTTTTTCAGAATATACATTAGTCAAAATCAAAGCATGTAAACATTTGATTGGCTGTTCTTTCCCAGTCAACCACCTATTTCAAAACCTACTGAGAATGCCAGATATATTGGTTAACTGACTCCGTATATAATTGTATACTTTAACATTACCAAATATGACACACAACTCTTGACTGGTTATGTGATACACTGGTGTTTACTACCCTACAACTGTTGACTGGTCATGTGATACACTGGTGTTTGTTCCCCTACAACTGTTGACTAGTCATGTGATACACTGGTGTTTGTTACCCTATAGCTGTTGACTGGTTATGTGATACACTGGTGTTTACTACCCTACGACTGTCAACTTGTCATGTATTACACTGGTGTTTACTACCCTACGACTGTTGACGAGTCATGTGATACACTGGTGTTTGTTACCCTAAAACTGTTGACTGGTCATGTGATACACTGGTGTTTATTACCCTACAACTGTCGACTGGTCATGTGATACACTGGTGTTTACTACCCTTCAACTGTTGACTTTTCATGTGATAAACTGGTGTTTACTACCCTTCAACTGTCGACTTTTCATGTGATAAACTGGTGTTTACTACCCTACGACTGTTGACTGGTTATGTGATACACTGGTGCTTGCTACCCTACAACTGTTGACTGGTCATGTGATAAACTGGTGTTTACTACCCTACAACTGTTGACTTGTTATGTAATACACTGGTGTTTGTTACCCTACGACTGTTGACTGATCATGTGATACACTAGTGTTTACGACCCTACGACTGTCGACTGGTCATGTGATCCACTAGTGTTTACTACCCTACGACTGTTGACTGGTCATGTGATACACCGGTGTTTACTACCCTACAACTGTTGACTAGTCATGTGATACACTGGTGTTTGTTACCTTACAACTGTCACCTGGTCATGTGATACACTGGTGTTTGTTACCCTACGACTGGCGACTGGTCATGTGATACACTAGTGTTTACTACCCTACGACTGTTGACTGGTTATGTGATACACCGGTGTTTACTACCCTACGACTGTCAACTGATCATGTGATACACTGGTGTTTACTACCCTACAACTGTCAACTGGTCATGTGATACACTGGTGTTTGTTACCCTAAAACTGTTGACTGGTCATGTGATACACTGGTGTTTGTTACCCTAAAACTGTTGACTGGTCATGTGATACACTGGTGTTTTCTACCCTACAACTGTTGACTGGTCATGTGATACACTGGTGTTTTCTACCCTACAACTGTTGACTGGTCATGTGATACACTGGTGTTTGTTTCCCTATGGCTGTTGACTGGTTATGTGATACACTGGTGTTTGTTACCCTACAACTGTTGACTAGTCATGTGATACACTGGTGTTTGTTACCCTACGACTGTTGACTGATCATGTGATACACTAGTGTTTACGACCCTACGACTGTCGACTGGTCATGTGATACACTAGTGTTTACTACCCTACAACTGTGGTCATGTGATACACTGGTGTTTGCTTCCCTACGACTGTTGAATGGTCATGTGATACACTAGTGTTTGCTTCCCTACGACTGTCAACTTGTCATGTATTACACTGGTGTTTACTACCCTACGACTGTCAACTTGTCATGTATTACACTGGTGTTTACTACCCTACGACTGTCAACTTGTCATGTGATACACTGGTGTTTACTACCCTATGACTGTTGACTGGTCATGTGATAAACTGGTGTTTACTACCCTACAACTGTTGACTGGTCATGTGATAAACTGGTGTTTACTACCCTACGACTGTCAACTTGTCATGTGATACACTGGTGTTTACTACCCTACGACTGTCAACTTGTCATGTATTACACTGGTGTTTACTACCCTACGACTGTTGACTGGTTATGTGATACACTGGTGCTTGCTACCCTACAACTGTTGACTGGTCATGTGATACACTGGTGTTTTCTACCCTACAACTGTTGACTGGTCATGTGATAAACTGGTGTTTACTACCCTTCAACTGTTGACTTTTCATGTGATAAACTGGTGTTTACTACCCTTCAACTGTCGACTTTTCATGTGATAAACTGGTGTTTACTACCCTTCAACTGTTGACTTTTCATGTGATAAACTGGTGTTTACTACCCTTCAACTGTTGACTTTTCATGTGATAAACTGGTGTTTACTACCCTTCAACTGTCGACTTTTCATGTGATAAACTGGTGTTTACTACCCTACGACTGTTGACTGGTTATGTGATACACCGGTGTTTACTACCCTACGACTGTCAACTGATCATGTGATACACTGGTGTTTACTACCCTACGACTGCTGACTGGTCATGTGATACACTGGTGTTTACTACCCTACAACTGTCAACTGGTCATGTGATACACTGGTGTTTACTACCCTATGACTGTTGACTGGTCATGTGATACACTGGTGTTTACTTCCCTACGACTGTTGACTGGTCATGTGATACACCGGTGTTTACTACCCTACAACTGTTGACTAGTCATGTGATACACTGGTGTTTACTACCCTACAACTGTCAACTGGTCATGTGATACACTGGTGTTTGTTACCCTAAAACTGTTGACTGGTCATGTGATACACTGGTGTTTTCTACCCTACAACTGTTGACTGGTCATGTGATAAACTGGTGTTTACTACCCTACGACTGTCACCTTGTCATGTATTACACTGGTGTTTACTACCCTACGACTGTTGACGAGTCATGTGATACACTGGTGTTTGTTACCCTACGACTGTTGACTGGTCATGTGATACACTGGTGTTTACTACCCTACGACTGTTGACTGGTTATGTGATACACCGGTGTTTACTACCCTACGACTGTCAACTGATCATGTGATACACTGGTGTTTACTACCCTACGACTGTGGTCATGTGATACACTGGTGTTTGCTTCCCTACGACTGTTGAATGGTCATGTGATACACTAGTGTTTGCTTCCCTACGACTGTCAACTTGTCATGTATTACACTGGTGTTTACTACCCTACGACTGTTGACTGGTCATGTGATACACTGGTGTTTGTTACCCTACGACTGTTGACTGGTCATGTGATACACTAGTGTTTGCTTCCCTACGACTGTCAACTTGTCATGTATTACACTGGTGTTTACTACCCTACGACTGTTGACGAGTCATGTGATACACTGGTGTTTGTTACCCTACGACTGTTGACTGGTCATGTGATACACTAGTGTTTGCTTCCCTACGACTGTCAACTTGTCATGTATTACACTGGTGTTTACTACCCTACGACTGTTGACGAGTCATGTGATACACTGGTGTTTGTTACCCTACGACTGTTGACTGGTCATGTGATACACTAGTGTTTGCTTCCCTACGACTGTCAACTTGTCATGTATTACACTGGTGTTTACTACCCTACGACTGTTGACGAGTCATGTGATACACTGGTGTTTGTTACCCTACGACTGTTGACTGGTCATGTGATACACTAGTGTTTGCTTCCCTACGACTGTCAACTTGTCATGTATTACACTGGTGTTTACTACCCTACGACTGTTGACGAGTCATGTGATNGTGTTTGCTACCCTATGAATGTTGACTGGTTATTTGATTCACCTTGTAAACCTTGTTTCAGACGTGCAACAGACAACAACGCAGTCAAAATAATACCTATACGTCACTTGGCGTTGCAGGCAACACAAAAACAGCCGTTTTATACCTTATCAGTAAACAGTTAAACTAATTTCATGCGGAGTTGGAACACCATAGAAGCACTATTTCCCTCTCCTGATGGCATGAGTCTCTACTCCTTGAGGGAAATAGTTCTAAATGTTGACTGATTATGATGAAGAATGGAACAACTGTATGATATTAAAGTCATTATTTAAACCAGGATCCATAAATTGTCATTCTACAATTAATGAAAATCAAATTTTTTAATCAGAAGCTGGCAATCATGATCACTTATCCATAAAATGATAATTACTATAATTATATAACAGCACTGACTTTAAAAATGCCCATGAGCCTTTAAGTTAAGACTTCCCACACACTTTGAAAAAAGGTAAAAATTACACTTTGGCAAACAACCCCAGTAAACAGCAATTAATATTATACTTATTCAAGTAACTTGAGCTGTCCATATTAAAGCAGACATGTAGTTAATTGGAGCAATGTTGGTAAAATCCACACTTAAAACATAGGCTTTATTACAAATACTGTATGTGGTAGGGTGGTATATTATGGAGTAGAACAAATACTTGAAAATTCCAATTGTGAAGGGGGATATTTTACCAAAGAGAAAGGTCTGCATGCAAAAGTCTTCGTTTTGCTGTTTTATGAATACCTTTATGCAGTTTTCTAGCAGTGTGAGTGAAAAGCCATTTGTCTATAACCTGAAGAAAGTGATATATATGTCATGGAAACATAACATTCCCTGTACATGTTTTGTTTCTCTTACATACTTTGTTAGATATACCTTTTTTGACTTGTCAATGAAGGCTGCCTTAATATCTTTCTGCGTTGCATTTTTTGGAACGCCTAGGACATCATAGTGGGAACACCTGTAACACAAGTTATTGTCAAATCTTACACGGGTACGCCTAGGACATCATAGTGAAACCCCTGTAACACAAATTACTGTCAAATCTTACACGGGTACGCCTAGGACATCATAGTGAAACACTTGTAACACAAATTATTGTCAAATCTTACACAGGTATGCCTAGAACATCATAGTGAAACACCTGTAACACAAGTTATTGTCAAACTCATTGATAATTTTATACCAGGAAAATTTCAGGATTTTTTGTAAGATTTTATACATACATGAAAATCTACCATAGGATTGATGTTGGTTCCTTGGGAAATGGTTTTCTAATTGTTAGACTATATTGGTTTCCTGATTTTGTGTATAATTACCTGATTAAAAGGATGGATGGCCAGCTATATACCTTGGGGTGGTGCCACCTGGTGGTTGCCCTGGTTACACATCCACACACAGCTGCAGTCAAACTTTTCATGCTCACATTACTGGAATCCAAACCTGCAATTAAAGGTCAAGAAATGTTTAGAACCACATTTTTGTATGCAAGGTCTAAGGTTTCTGAGTGGTCAAGGCATCTGACCATCTGTGATCACTAGCTCTTCACCACTGGGTCACAGGATCAAGGCACATGTATATGTGGGGCATTCGTCAAGATAGGTGTTTTACTCAAAATCGTGGGACTATAATATAGTGGTCTAGCTGTTTCAGCCAGCTAATCCACTATAACTTGCCAACTCTCCTAATATTTAGGAGGGAGACTCTGAATTTAACCCTTACATTTAATTATCCAGCCATATTCAATGATGGCGATGGGATTAATGACCACGTCTTTGTAGATATATACATACTTTCTATATGTAAAAAATGTAAATGTGAATCAACTGTACACGTAAAATTCAAGACTTAATATTAGTGATGAACAACATTGATGCTTAATTTTGCTTCAATTTGTTTATTCAACAATTCTGCCATTATTATTATCACAGCCATCTGCACCTGATATGTACATATGTGATAATAGAAAAGTCATCCCTACCCTACTATGTCAATAAAAGTAGAGAACATTTTACACCCTAACATAACTCCACATCCGATGCAAGCGCCCGTGTTTTTGTGGCGACCTGGTATACAGTTACCCGTGTATACATAAATTTTGACAGAATAACAGGATATTAACATTTTTTTTATTTTAGCACAAAATGTCGGATTATTTAGTATTTTAACTCGCCTTTTAAACTGTTAGATTTCTGGATTATATTTCCTCTATATCAATATACGCACCAGAAGTCATGTATTAGTAGAGGAACATTAAAATGTGCTGCAAGAAGCTACCTGAAGCTTTCCATTGGTGTCGACTACTGTACTATATCAACTATATAAAAATAACCACACAGCCTTGCCTGTCAATACAACCCATAAAATAATCATGATAGTAAGTTAACGATAACTCTTTCCAAAGACAACTCATCTTCCAACCAATGTCAACAAGGAACTGTTAAAAAACAGTCGAAAATACTTCTACTTCTACCTTATAATCAACCTACTTCATCATACTGAAGATCATGTCAATGTCTGGGTTGTACTTATGTACAGGAAAAGAGAGTGAGAATAGAGCTTATTTTGTAGAGATGAAAGACAACTTTTAAAGGTTTCCAAGGTTTCAGATGAGGCCAGGTCTGGTGGGAGGTTGTTCCAGTCTGGGATAGTACTGGGGAAAACAAGAGTATTTGCAGCAGTCTGTTTTATAATGTGGAGTGAGATAGAAGAAAGAGCGAGAGTGTCATGTCTGTTGCAACTATTTTGTTAGAATTTTTTCTTTCGTAATTGCTACAGACTATTAGAAATGATTTTAAATATCATGGTTAGGCGGGCATCCTTACGCCTATCAGCGAGGCTGGGCCAGTACTTTAGGTCGTCGAGCCTGTCACCTACATTGGATTAGCTGTACTAACGTAGCTTTCTGACGAGACATTTTTGAAATATTGCGTCATCAGAGCGGAGAGTAGGCAGGGTATGAATATTCGTTCTAACATTGGACGTGTTATGGTATCTGCTGGTGACAAGCTGTGCAAGCCCTATGCTGAACCATGTCCAATTTATTTATGTCACCATTTTGGTATGGGTCCCACTCGGTACAAGCATATATTCCAAAGTCGGACGCACCAGAGATTTGTATGCTTGTTACTTTATTGTTTTAGAATTATTTTTTAGGTAACGCCGAATGAAGCGAAGAGTCTTGTTAGCTTTACTAGTTATTTCAGTAATGTGAGAATCCCATTTCAGATCTTTTTTCAATGTTACACCCAAATAGTTCGCTTTATCAGTATGCTCTAGACAATGACCATGAAGAAATTATTTATAATTTACCGAATTCTTATTTTTCGAAATGGATAAAATGTTACATTTTTGGGGTGGAATTCCATTTTCACTTTTTTCTCCGAACTTATCTAAATCCCTCTGCAGTATTGTGGCATCCTCACTGGAGGTGACAGGCTTGTATAATATTCCGTGGAATCAACCGAAATATTCTTAAGATCATCTATATACTCAATAAATTGATTAGGTAACCAACTTACTATGATGCTTACCGTAAACCAACCTTGAAAAAAATCAGCTGTCCAGTTACGAAATTAACAAGCACCTCCGTGATCTAGATTTTATGCCGGAAGTAAGAAGTAATTCAAGAACCAATAATGTCATGGATGCACCGGATCGCAATCGAGTTTAGCGTTCTTCCAATATGCTGGAATATAAGTTTCTCGAGAGTATGGAAAAATGGAAAATCATAACAAACTTATTTGTATATAATAAAAGGAAACATGCAATCTCTTTCATACTTTAAAAGTGTAAAAATAGTTAGAGATCAGTGGCGGATCCGGAGACCTGTGTGTGTGGGTGGGGGTGGGATTGAGAAAACTGGTGAAAATATATGACTTTTAAAGAAAATTCTCAGGGTGTGGGGGTTTCCTGAAGCCAAAACCCCTCAGGATCCACCACTGGAGATGAACGGAATACCAGCAAAAACCGACAGTAAAATAAACTTTAATGCATTCAGAAATGTATTGAATTTATTGACAATTTTCAAATTTCTTTACATATTGAAATTTAATATGGTAATTGCTATATTATGTTTAAAAAATTAAATGACTGAGCTACTATATATATATTTATTTCAGGATATCTGCAAGTAATAATATTTCCAACCCTGAGAGAAACAAAAGGCCCAATGGGCCTGCATCACTCACTCTTGTAACATTTAAAGTGGACTTAAATAGAGCTACAGACAAAATATTGATATCTATGACTCTAATGTCATTCAAAAGAAAATGTTGTTTTTTATCACATTTGACCCCTGTGACCTTAAAAGTCAAATAAGGCCAGTAAATTTAACAAACTTTATAGCCCTTCATCCCAGCATGCAACTTGCCAAATTTCACCACCCTAACACGTTAGACCTTTTGTTTATTGAGTTGAGATCGTTTAAACCTTTATACTCATTTGTGACTTATAAAGTTAAAGCTGGTCAGGGTAATTCACACAAACAAACTTGATAGCTCTTCATCTGAGCATTCTGCTGCCCAAATTGCACCCTATGCAAAATTTTTGTTATTCAGAATTTTTTAAATATTTCACCCTTTTGACCTTGAAGGTCATTCATTTGAACAACCTTGGAAGCCCTTTCTCAGCATGCTAGTTTCCAAATAAACTCACCCTGGGCCTTTTGGTTATAAAGAAGCTGTTTTAAGTAAAAGTTGACTCTTACCAGAATTATGTTTATAATTTGATGATGTAAATTGTATAAACCGTTCTGTTTTTTCTGGGTCTAGTAAATTGGTATGGTTTTATTATATTGTTTCTGGGTCTAGTAAATTGGTATGGTTTTATTATATTATTTTATATTACAGGAGCATTTTTTTTCACATGAACAATATAGGAATATCAAAACGACGGTCTGGGATGATACCTGAGGAGGAAAGATTGACCCAAATCAGAACACCTACATACATATGTAACAAAAACATTTTTATATCTTGTCAGGCAACAGTTCATGGTTTAACATGGTACAATGTGTAGTCATCTGATTCATTTACAAAAATGCTTACATTAATTATTGAAATATATAATATGATATGATACATACACATTCTAAGATAATCTTGTTGTACATGTATTGGATTGCCAGAAAATCTGTATTGTGTGTGATGTGTGTGCTTACTAGGTGTTAAAAGAGTATTAAAAATAAAGTTAAAAAGGGAAAGCAATTATACATGTTCTGCATGGTCTTGAATAAATTTAAGTGATTACAGGAAAAATCAGATGTCATTTAGTTATGATCTAACAAGCGATTTGTTATCTTGTCAATGCATGCATGCATGTGTTTTATAAAAATAGAGTTCAATCCCATGATCTCTTATTTACTGATCAGATGCCATGATCTCTTATTTACTGATCAGATGCCATGATCTCTTATTTACTGATCAGATGCCAACAAAGATTTGTCCATTTGAATATTGGCATGTCTACAAATAATTTGTGATGATAAATAATAAATGTAAACATGATTTGATTACTTGGTGTCAAAGTGGTATTATCAATTGTTGAAATAAATCCTCCTCTCTTGTCGCCCCTTCGCCACTGCATGTCTTTTTATGCATTACGACCCTGTCTAAATCAAACCACCAGTCAGATTATATCAAGTCATTAGTCACAGAGGTCCTGTTGCCCATAGTCTACATCAAACCACCAGTCAGATTATATCAAATCATTAGTCACAGAGGTCCTGTTGCCCATATAGTCTACATCAAACCACCAGTCAGATTATATCAAGTCATTAGTCACAGAGGTCCTGTTGCCCATAGTCTACATCAAACCATCAGTCATTGAAGCCTGCCTTGATGTCCTATCTCTATAACCTTTCACCACCAGTGGTGCCTGGAACCACATGTACTGCTCTTTGTTAAGTGTGAATACCCTTTCATCTGCACTTTCATCTATCACATCATTGAACTGCATGTTTACCACACTCTCTACGAGTGTATCTGTTGAGTTTGTGTCCTTTGGCGTTAGACTGTCCTGAGACTGGTTGTTGTAGCCATCTGTGCTATTATGAAGCCATTTATTTGACAAGAATGACAGATCCTCTTCATTTTCATCTTCTAGAGGCACACTCACATTTGAGCACTCCAACGGTTCAATTCCTGATATTTCTATTTCATATTCATCCCTAGTTATATTGTGACCGTAGGAGTTTGAATGTTTTCCACAAAAATTCATAACATATTGCTTCCCCCTCATTGGTACTCTGAAAGCAGGTTTTGGGAGGAACCATTCCACTCCGGCCTCCCTTGGAGCATGAAGTAACACCCTCAAGCATGTGGTTCCGATTGGCTTGGAGCCACCCACTATGTCTTGTGATATAAGTTGTCGGTACAGGGATCTAACACAAGTTTTCAGAGGGAGACCTTCTGCCTCTGGGTTAATCCCTGGTAGATTAACCAGATAGGATTCTTTAGGACTGACAGAAGTTCCCCCAAACATCAGAAGAGCCTGATGGATTTCTGGACATATCTCAAAAACCTGCAGCACATGTGATGATAATTCATCAAAGTTCTTCAGTGTATTGGTGGCTCGCTTTATCTCTAATTTGTTCAACTGTCGACTTTTTGGTTTTCTTCCACCATTCTAAAAGGCAATAAACAGCAAATAAATATCAAACAAACTTAATAAATAATTAATAGCTATAGATAAAAAGAAAAAAGTAATCCTGTCTTTTTTTATGGTCATGGTCACTTACAAAATATAAGAAATTATGATAGGAAAATAAATATATTTTGAATTTAATAAGCGTATAGCAATTAGCATGTACTTGTGAGATATCAGGGTGTAATATTAAAGGAGAGGAGAAATACATGTCAATGAAGATGCCGTTTTAAGTTCAATGTTATATTATATGTTATATTATAAACAATCTGATATTTGAACTGCACATTCCCATGGTATTTCAAGGAATTTCTATTTTTATCATTTTTAAATAAATAGCTATGTAATATTCAAACAGCATCCATACAGTATGTTTATTATTTATTTATATATGATTCCACAACAACTGCACCAGAAAATAAAGTAAAAAATATGGGATTAATTGCAGCAAAATGATATGGTTCATGTGTGCTTGAAACGAAAGAGTTTAACATCACTGCATGTATCAGTATTCACTTACGTTATCCTTTTTTATTCTTATTGTCAGAGACTATTTATTTTTAAAACTTTCAGCTCTTCAGTGTATATATTTTTTTGTATATGTATCATTTTAAACTTGTAACCCTTAATTGTTATGTCTGTTGTAATAGGACTTTAATGAAGATTATAGAAACGATTTTTGATAGCAACTCATAACGTTCGAAAAACCTCGGATAACTGAATTGCACGAGGAAAACTAATTAAACTAATTCAATTAATAATTGGAGCACCTGTTCGTTTCCGAGTTGACTTTCTGATATTCTTTTCAATTCTTGCTTCACGTAGTCAATAGGCAGAGGGATCTGCTGTCTTTCATAAAGTAGATACTTGATAAGTTCAATAACTAATGTTCCTCGTACTCTTGATTGCAACGTGCCATCGAAAACAAATGTACACGATAGTCTGTCTTGCTCCCTCTCCTTCCTTCTCGCCATCTTCAAATTTCCCACTTCCATTTACAACCGGTAAAGGGAGACTACTCTATCCACTAAAAACACGTTTCATTTTCTATTAAAGATGCGAGCACCTGCTTAAAAGAATACAGGTGACGATCTAATTTAATATGAATTTATTAGTTTTTCATTAACAGTATAATATGAAGCAATACACAAATGTTGAAAATGGATTTGGAAACAAGTTTTACAACATATATATCTCAAGAAAATATTAAAATTTTAATATTTAGTTGCATGTAAGTAGACAATTTTTGACCCTTTGTATACCCCAAGACTATAAAATCGCCTGCCTATTCGCAGGTTCCCAAGTCACTCCACTGAATTAAAATAATAAAAACACCGCAGCGCTCTGACAGTGCACATACAAGAATAGGACGTTTCGGTACTATTTGTAAAGACAAAAAACGACGATGAATATTGGAATATATTAAATCAACAATGAGCAAATACACTTTTAAGTTTTTAGTTCAAACATATTTTATTGGCAAAGGATACATAGACAGCAACTATTGAGTTGAAACGCTAATCTTCAAATGGTTGAAGTTGGTCGGTTTCCTGTAGAAGTAGTCGAAGTGCCAAAAATCTTACATACAAAACAATTAAGATTTTCGTCGCTTTACTTTAAAAATGAAATAAATAGTAAAAATAGTTTTCCATTTCAATGCCATTATTTATATAAATATTAGACTCGTAAGGCAGAATATACTCACGCTTCGCACTCACGGAAAATATCGTTGGGAAACCATTAAATATTCTCTAATTACCCACGGACTTAGACTAATTCCGTGATATACCAAAATGTGATAACTATATAAATATATGAAGTCGATATATTTTGAAATATACTACAAGAAACCTGGTATTTTCAAATTGATTCAACTATTGAAAACCGAGAAAACAAGAAGAAATGTCATATCTGTAGTAAAAGACGTTCAGATGGAATACATGTACATTTACATCAATATTCTCCTACCTCCGCGCACGAAAGATGTAATAATAATAATAATAAATTCTTTTATTTAGACAGGGTGACTTATTAAGACTTTCGTCTAGTTTACAATATGGCCATGTAAAAGACACATATATACAATGTACAACAACACACTTTAAAATTACACAACATCGCTTACATGGAAACAAAATAAATATAATATTACCGGTATAAGATAATAGTTCAGTGAGGCACAATGGAGCTTTCCAAGAGTTGGGGAGGTCCCTTCCTGCGAGGTCTGCCCACTGCGCCATCACTTTAGTAAATAATTCTTACACCAAGGACATCTTAAAATGAACGCATCTTAACTATATCATATGAATGGAAATAATTCAAAGGATATAGTTGAAATAAAACTGTGCCTTTAGGACAGACCAATATCACAGGTAAGCTTTGTCGAATTCATATTGCACTATGTTGTTGATTTAAAATAGTTGCTAAGATATAACTTTTTAAAAGACAGAAAGCTTGTAGCGTTTCGTGTCTCTTCAGTAAGATCATTCCACAGAGCAGTACAAGTATATCTAAAAGAACGCTTATAAAATGTTGTTCTGCATTGTTGGGAATATAGAGTTTCTTTGATGTTAAAGAACGGGTAGTCCTATTTGAAACCTGGCTGACATAAGCAAATAAATTTTGCTTAAAAAAAACAGGAGCCTCATCATTGAGGATTTTGTAGGTTAATACACACGGGCTGTACGTGTCCCATCTCTAACCCTGGACAGATGTATCCAGATTTTGCAGATGTGACTTGATATATCTTTTCTTGCACCTCAGACTGGGATATCCCACGTGAGACCCCGTGCTAGATTTGTATATCTCCTTTGATCAATCTGGCACCTTTCGGAGACATTTCGCGGAATTGTTTTGTCTTTATAGTTATTGGTTTGATGTTGTTAGAATATTGATGTTGTAGATAAATGTTATGTACACTGATATTTTTTCCTTTGTAAGGATGGAGGACTCCATTGTGTACGGGGAAGCATTCAAACATAGCTTAGGAAGTGAAGAGGCCATATTCGTTTGAGGTTCCGGACGGGATACTTGTAGACTATATGGAAAAATTGAATATATATTTTTTCAAGCTAGATCTAAGCCCGACGACTGAGATAACCCGTTCCTGCTCAGTTACAGATTCAATGTAATCGATTTTATTTTTCTCCCATACTTGCCCGTGAAAGACATGAGTATTTTTCTCCCACATCAAATACAAGTGGAATATTCATGAAATGCAAACGTTTCTTTGATCATTTCCAGCAGATCGGAGTTATCGTCTGTGATCTGATATTGTTGACGTGACGTCATTTCATTGTTGACGTGACACCATGCAATTGTTCCCTCGTCCAAGGGTAAGACATGCTGAGGTATCTCTCTCTCTCTGTCCGGAAGTGTGGATAGCTCTGTTTAATAGGGGAGAAAAGTCTGTGAAGGGAGGGAATATAAGCTCGCCCGGAATGGAAGAAATGTTCACTTTAGGAGAGACATACTATTATGTTTATTTGTCTTTGACTCCAGTTTAACATCTTTCATTCTTGAATTATTTAAAGATTTGAATACCTTTAATTCAGTATTGCATCTATCTCCGAATATTTGACTAAGATTGGTTTAAGTTTACTTAAAATTTGTGTTCAATACATAAGTCTAAATAGATATGTACCTCAATTCACAGACATCAAAATAATAGCCTGTTAACGTTAAGAACTGTACATGTGGTGATGGTTTAACGGGAGACAACTCGTACCATTCAAAAGCCTCGGGGCGAAGTTTCGATATCCTCAGATATATTGCACGTATGGTTGTCGTTACGATATATACCATGCGTATAGTATATGGGGCAAAGAAGTAGTTCCGACAGTGTGGACAAGTTTAGGTTGTCAAATTTTCGGAGCGATCCGCTCCTTTATCACGAAACACTGAAACTGAACAGTTACATGCGTAAAATATATGGGGCAAAGAAGTAGTTCCGACAGTGTGGACAAGTTTAGGTTGTCAAATTTTCGGAGCGATCCGCTCCTTTATCACGAAACAGTGAAACTGAACAGTTACATGCGTAAAATAAAGATATACTGTTTTAATGTTAATAGTTGCAGTAAAAATACTAGCTCGTCACAATACTGCTATGGTCTTACCGAATGGTGTGATCAAGAAAAATACCTGGTAATAATATGATATAAAATTAGTTTTCTGATACTAGACTGTGTACACACATGTGGCACTGGTGTTTAAAGATACGGTGGTCATGACTTTTATTCTGTATGGCAGAATCTGTAATAGTAGGAAATAATGTTATATTTACCACTGTTACAGTAAGGCGGTGTAGTTGAATTGAAATAGCGTTATTAATAACGTCCATTAGTTGTTTTACAAGTTAGAGATTAAAATTAAGTGTCAGTGGTAACCGTTAATGTAAACAAATTAAATTAAAGATGCGGTTTACACCTTAACATAGTATAAATAATTAAGGTGCCCTTTGAAACTTATATGACAAACGGGGAAAAACGAAAACCCGTTCGATTCCCCGACCGGACTAGAAAATGTATCAGGTCACCTGTCCGATCACATGGGTTTTCTCTGGGTACTCCGGTTTCCTCCAACATTAAGAACCTATGGACGCTTCCATCACAGCCGACAAGTGATTAACGCAAGCTGAAATAACTGGTTTCATACATATTGTAAACTAATATTGTGTAACATTGAAGTAAATATAAATTTATTACTGCTTTTCTCCGCTGTGCAATTTTCCAGATTATGGCTAATTAAAACAATGGTAGTTGTCACTGGAAACCGTTTAAGTTACTGTCCCTCTAACCTTCTCTCTGTGTCCACATCAACAGGATGACGCTTGCATTTTCTTTTTTTTCTTGCATAACAAAAGTTATAAACTCCGGGTGTGAGACGCGTCAGAGATGTAAAACAAAAAGGAAGGAAGTTTGCTTATCTTACGTGCCATAAATAAATCGATGATTTACACAATGTCACGCATGCCGTAATAGGCCCCTTTAAAATAACCATATTTAAATTTCTTGTCAAATTTTAGTACGTTTAATCAATACTCCTGCTATAACGATCATTTTTTGTTTATATAACTTCTTAAGAGAAATATAAAGTCGTTCAGCATACCAAGTGATTTAGTAGATCGTTATCAATTAAGATAAAAGCACGTGTGTTGAGTTAACATTACCTCTGACTAAGTCGAACATATAGTCGCCATTCGTTGGATTCTGCTCTCGTGACATCTCGTGAATTGTATGGCTGTAACCCTGGGTGATCTGCGCACGTTGAGATAAGTTACAGTCGGGAAAACGCGTCGCACGCTTATACTTTATATACATTTTTTGTCAATGCCATTTCAAATCTTTTCATACCAACATTTAAAATATTTCTGAAATTTTACTACTTCAACATACCGCAGTTTTCCGACAAATTGCGGCACGGTAACATTACATTTTCCTCACAAATTCAAAAACGACTGCAAATTGGGTGGTGTAGTGGTCAGCGCACGCGCCATAGTCAAGACGTGTTTTGCCGAGTTTCGACTCCCCGATCGGACACCATGCACAGTGTTTAAAATGGTACTTATTATTAGTTCGTCACGTCCGTTACTTATTATTAACAGTTCGTCACGTCCGTTACTTATTGTTAACAGTTCGTCACGTCCGTTACTTATTAATAACAGTTCGTCACGCCCGTTACTTATTATTAACAGTTCGTCACGCCCGTTACTTATTATTAACAGTCTGTCACGCCCGTTACTTATTATTAACAGTCTGTCACGTCCGTTACTTATTATTAACAGTTCGTCACGTCCGTTACTTATTATTAACAGTTCGTCACGTCCGTTACTTATTATTAACAGTTCGTCACGTCCGTTACTTATTATTCCCTGCTATTCGTTCATTTAAGGGGAAAGCAACAACTGGTTCAACCGTTGTCTGTATATTGTGACCGGGTCGGAATAGTGTACTGGATGCCGTCGGCATGGCATTTCAGTGAGATAGAACTTTA